GGGGTCCCAGCAGACAAGAAGTGGAACGTGAGTCAGCAGAGCACCACTGCAGCAACCAAGGCAGTTTGGATCCTGAGCTGGATCCTGAGTTTGGATCCTGCATCCTCATGGGCATTACTGGCAAAGAGAGAGATGTGATCACCTCAATCTACCCAGCACTTGTCAGGCTGCACCTGGAGTACTGTGTCCAGCTCTGGTCCCCACTCTTCAAGAAACACTATTCAAAAATAGAGAGGGTCAAAGAAGGGCCGCAAAGATAATCAAAGGGCTGGACAACCTGTTGTATGAGGAAAGACTGAAAGAATTAAGTCTCTTCATGCTGGAGAAGAGCAAGGTTGGGGGACCCTCATCACAGTGTCCCAGTACTTAAAGGGCATCTACAAAGAGGACAGAGGCTCTCTCTTCAAAAGGAGCCACAAAGAGAAGACAAGAGGCAATGGGTACAAGTTGCACCAGGAGAGATTTCTTCTCAACGTAAGAAAGCATTTTTTTACAATGAGAACAATCAGTCACTGGAACAACCTCCTCAGCAACACAGTGGAGTGACCATTGCTGGAAGTTTTCAAGATGCAATGGGACAAGGTGCTAGATAATCTCATCTAGGCTCCCTTTCTCATGAAAGATTGGACCAGGGGATCTTTCAAGGTCCCTTCCAACCTGGGATATTCTATGATTCCATGATTCTATAGACAGTCTAAAGAAAGGCTGGAGGTATGCTTGGCTGCACAGGAAGAACTCTCTGCTCCCCACTCCCCATCAAATGAATGTGCCCTCAGAAATGCTGGTCACTGTCTGAGGGAACTGCAGATTGGCCCTGGAGGACATTTTCTCTTACATATCCAGTGGAATTCAAGACTGCTGGAAACAATGATCTTTTCCTATCAAATGCAGTCGATTAGCTATACAGTGATAACTTCTGGTACCATGGACTTTGTTGACAGCTGCTCCATGTCTGTTTGTGTTTGGGTCCCACTTTAATGAAGAGAAAATAGATAAAGCCAACTTCAGAAAGATGTTTTTCTTCTTGTTGTTGCTGGTTAAAGACTTATTTAAGAGCTTAGAAAATTACCACATACTCTAATCTGTCTGGTTGTGAGCCTGGTTTTCTTATTTATCTACTTACATATTTCAGTGACCATAAATTTAGATAGTGCATGTTTTTAACAAGTTTTGTTCTGTTCAATTTCCTTAGTAATTTAGGACAAAATTGTCCTTGCTTTGCAATTCCTCAGCCAAGGCTTGACACATGTCCCGCATGTTCCTTGCTGGATGATCAGAAATGAATATACTGATTTCTTGTTCATTGTAAAAAGATAAGATTGACTTAATGGAGTTGCCTATTTTTAATAAATAAGATTTTTTTCATTCAGTTAAAATGCAAGTGGCATTTTAAATTTCTCTTCTCTAACAGACTGTAAAATATTATACTGTTAGCAGGAATAACTAGGTTTGAAATCTGCTTTAGATTTAACCTCTCAGGGGACCTAGGACTGTGTGTCTTACATGGTGGTGAAGCAGGAGCGGTCTCCCGCCCCGCCCTGCTTCGTGGTGGTTTTGTGACTGAAATGTCAATGACAAAGGAAGCCCTCAGAGTACTCATTCTAAAATTTAACTCTTTAGGGAAAACTCTAAAGCATTCATCTCTCCTGCACTTAAGTAAATCTGAGTTAAAGTAAAGTAGTTTCAGCTATTGCTGAAACTGCTATCCCTGGGGGAATTTTACACTCAGAGTCTGGCAGAAAATATTTCTCCACTCTACAGTAACCACTTTTTTCCTCTTTTTCTTCATTTCACTTTGCAATTTTTTCTTTTTTTTTTCATTTCTCCACTTCTTAACTGTCATAAATAATTTTTTTTCATCTGTGTCTAGTGGTGCTGATTTTTACTTTATCGGTTGATTTTCTGAAATACATCCCTTAATATATTTTATATATTTAGATCCTTCTATCAGAACTGAACAGTAATATTCTAGTAATTGATGTTTCAATTTTTTTTTTTCTTTTCTTTTAGTGAACTTGTTTGGGATGACTTTTTTTTTTTTTACAGATTAACTAATCATCTTAAGATAAATATTTCAAAATTATTTATATGTATTTTCTTTCATTAATCATATGACACAAATTCCACATCATAAGAAAGAATAATAACAGTGCTGGTTGTTCTTATTTTTATATCCTCCACATAGCCTAGTCTTAGTCTTCTCTATTTCTGCTCACATGAAAACTTTTTGTTTCTATGTTAGAACTTTCCTGTTCCTTGTGGGATGTTCTAAGCTGAATACATTGGTAAAAAAGTATTTTTAGGGTAGAAAAAGAGATTAATTATTAAATTGTTAGTTATGATATAAAACAAATGTTGAAACCCCAGATTTCTATTAAATGATTAACTATAGCCCCCTTGTTTCATTCAGTGCAGCCAAATCTATTGCCTCACATCAAATCCAAGTCATAGTAAAAAAAATAATTTTCCAAGCCACGTTTTTGAGTAGTGTCGCATAACACAATACACATGCGCCACTATTTCTCATAATGGCAGCTGTAGATGCAGGAGTATTACTGAAAATTATTATCAGACAGATTATTTTGTCCAAAAGCTGCGTACATTATATTTTTTTTTATTACAAATATAATCCTGAAGTGAGTGGGAATTTTTGCCGCACTTTGAGCTCACAAGCAGCGATGGTCCCAATGATGCAGACTCTGGCTGTTTCTACAGCGCCCGCAGAATCAGGCTCAGGCTTAACAGAGAGAGCAACCAGTTGCATACCCAAGACATATGGGACAGAGCTCAGGTTTGGGGCAGAGCTCAGGTGCTGGCTCTCTCTCTGCTAGCGGCGGAGTGTGACAGAGGTGTTGACAACGTGGCCACTGAGACTGGAGTATGACCTCCATCCCCAAACGAACACAGCGTCTAAACAATGGAAGAGTCTCAAGAGGTTCCTGTGGCTTCAGTGCAGGCAGGAATTCTGCTTCCCAAGAGGTTACTATATGCTTGCACCTGTAGTAATTTTTTGGTATGTTCAAGGGCAATACCAGAGGTGCATCCTCCCTTCACCTGTGCAATGAGTGCAAACTGAGCCCATTGGAGCCCTCTGATCCCACCGTTACCTCCTCTGTCTCAATCTCATTATTTCAGTGTCTCAGCTCTTTGCCATCTCCTTACTTACCAAGTTCCTACCACTGGCTCCATTTCATTTCCACCAACCATTTTATTCTTTTGTTCCTCCATTTCAGTATCCTTTTTGCAAAAGCCACATCTGCAGCTTTGAGACCAGGAATCATCTTTAACTCACTGAAACACACAGGACTTAACCTGATAATTTAAAGTTGGCTAGAGGCAATTGGCAATTAAACCCATTCTCTGGTCCCATAAGCATGTGACGACATTAATGGCATGCTCTGCAAGGCAAACAAGTCCCCCATGTGACAAACAGAGCATTCTTTGTGAAACTATTTGTTTGGGTGCTTCAAGAGATGGCATAACTCAGTTCTATAATGTGCTGGCAATGCCAGAGAAATTAGGGGCCTCTTGCTGTGACAAGTCCTTTTTATTGCAGAGTTTGTGATGGATTTGGTTCACTGATCACACCCAGTGTTTGTAGGAGGCTAAGGGGATGAATACAGTTCCTTTTAACTAATGCTGAGACAGGATAACTGTTGTGCTTCCCCAAATACTGCTGCTTTGTAAACGGTATGATCATGGGGAACTATTCTCAGCAGAAGGGGGAAAAACCCCCTTACAAACATTTCTGTTATTGATGAGACAATACAATGAAATCTTATGCTGACAAATACTTTGGGGGCAAATAAAGAGAAAAATCATGAACGATATCTTTAAAAACTTTAGTGGTATTACCATGTTTCTGGGTACATTGTTGTTCTCTTGTAAACTAGAAGATGCGGTATCAGTTACTCACCTAACATTTAGACTCAAATTCTGAAATGTTATGCCAGTGAAATAGCCATATTTAGCCTTTGTAAAATATATTATTAAGCATATAGTGAGTGCATAGTGCCTTATCTTTATCCATTTTTTACAGGAGACACTCTGAAATGTCATACATGTCTGCTAATAATGAACTTAAACTGAAGCTGGTTTATAAATTCAAAACCTATTATTGAGATAATTTGTTAGACAGTATTATTGGTAACATATATTCTGTTCATCTCTCAGTACACAAAGAAAAGGATTCATACTTCAGCAGATGTTTGTCCTAGCTAAATAAAAAAATGCACAAATGACAGACCTTGAACATATTGACTTAGCCATAGGAATGACATAATGTTTCTTCAGAAAAAAAGAAGTAGCTTTTTTTTCTGAAAATTACATTTTTTGCTGATTTTTTCTATCTCTCTCCTTTTAAGTATCTTTGATTGTCTCTTCTACATACAGAGCTTCATCAAACATAGCTCTCTTTTTCCTGTATTAGCTGGTACTTACATACTAATACAGTAATGCATAACCATTTGACCACATCCACAGCATCATATACAGGATATGTATTTCATTCCCCATTTTTCTTCTCTTTCCATGATCTTATTTTACCAAAGGCCATGGACAGGCCACAGGAAAGTTCTAAAAAGAAGACGACAATCTTTTGTGTGACCATTTAAAAACTAAGTTTAGAATTCAAATTATTTTTACTTTTCTGTTTATGGACTGTAATTTATGCTGTAGAAAGTGAGCTCCTATGCACTGTGTAAACTAGAAAAATGTCAGGACAGAATGCACCATTGTCTATGATGCTACATTTATCAAATTGTCCTTAAATTATAAAACCAATCTAGAAGTGCAACTAAAACAGTTTTTCCCAGAAAAAAAAAAAAAAGGTAATTTCATACAAAGGTTAAAAGCCTCTTGTTCCTCACAGAGTCACAGATTTGCAAAGATACATGTGTCTGTGTAAAAAAAATGGGTGAAAATACACTGAAATTTCTGTTCTCAGACCGAAATTTTAAATTACATAAGTTTCATTGCTAGTCCAAAATTTGGGAAGCGACCTAAATTCTGCCCTTGTGAACTTTTTTGATATTCAGTTGATGTAGCAACATTGTTAAGATGAAGATTTCAACATGAGCAAAGCTGTATCCCAAGCACTTCCTTTTGTCAAGTCCAAATATCATTACTCTTGCTGTTAGGTACCTGTTTAGTGGACAGTTGTCACAGACAAATCTTCTAGGGCTGAATAGGCCTGGGTTCACCCATAATGTTCTAAAAACAAACATAATAAGGCTGGGTGTTTGCCTGTCTAATTTTCTAATTCTGTGATAGGATCTAATATCAGTCTGCTAGTTCAGGAAAAAAAAAATATTTACTCTAGAAAGTACTTACACTTCTCGAACATATTTATACTACAGTGAAGCCTAAAATTAGCCCCTGAATAATTTTTTTCCTTCAACACGGCTTCTGGGAAAATCCAGGCTTAATAACTAAAATAGGAGGTGTGAGTGATCAGTGAATCTAGGTGATGAGGCACTTGCTTTTATCTTAATAGAAATGTTTTTCTAAGAAGCAGAAAGTGAAATTTTGCTAGTTTCATTCTTTCAATATAAGAAAGCTTCCATATACCCCAGCACAGGCAGGTAGGCAAAAATAACTGTGGCATATCTGATACTGAGATTTTGAGGAGGAGTGCCAACTGGATATGATTTGCCAGTCTTATCGTTTTTACGGGTACATCATGATGATTTTGTTTTAGGTTAATTGCAAATTATATTACTAGAACTTATGCCTACAGAAATAGAGCTATTTGTTCGCTTTTGATTAAGAAGATGAACAGTACCACTGCAATGGAAAAACAGAGGTTATGAATATTCAATACTGGTAATACCCAAAGCATAAAATGACTAAATACAATATCGAGTAAAATCCAATTTACATCCATGGCTGACCAACTGATGAAAATACAGGTATCTCTGGGGATAAAATATCCATCTAGTATAGTGTCTTTGGTAGTACTGTGGAAATAACAGCATGCAACATTCATGTTCACCTTGATCTACCTTTCATACACATCCTTGGTTGATGAAGTGTTGTTACTGGCAAATTAATTTTCCAGTGGAAATTTAATTGAATTCCTTTCCATTTCTTAAATTATAGAAGTTTAATTTCAACATAAATAAAAATAATTTTCAATAGAACTCGTTTTCATTTCTTCTCTTCGTCTTCATACTTGAGCATGTTCAGAATACTAAAGTAAACAGTATGTCAAATTGCACAGTGTAGTTTCCTTACAAAGAGAGAAATGAAAACTCAAGAATTACTTTCTTTTCCTTAAGCTCATTTGAAATACAAGGTATTATTACTATGCCTTCTTAAATAATATAAAAATCTACTTTATAAAGCATAGTTGCAACTATAAGAAATGTGTAGGATATAGGTGCAAGAAAAAAAGAGTAATCAGACAGTTCTTGCACTACTGAAAATAGTCTCATAACCATGAATGTAGGACAACCTAAGTCTTCAGCTTCTAAAAACATGCCCTTATTAAATCTGAACGTGCTATATCTTCAAGAGTTCCCATTTTCTTTGTATTAAGATTTGAAAAACTTTAGCTAATCACTTATGAATGAAGAGCTGTAAAAGTCACCTATGATGAATGCCCAAGCACTTCATAAAAGAAAGTTTCCCTGGAAGGCATTGAAGACGTGTCCTCAAATCTGGGTAGCTGCCTCCACCCAATGTTTTCATCTGGTTGTGCAGAAGTAAAGACTAATGCTGCTGAAAGAGACATAAATGTGTTTATAAAACATATGCACTGCAGCTAGAAAACATCTGGCACAACTAGAGTAGAATTGTAGCACAGAAGCTGCCTCAGGAAACGTAATCTTTCCCTGTCTAAAATTCTGCTATGAAAAATGATAAAGGACTACAAAAATCTGAATGTTTCTTTGCATACAGAGCCTGTATAATGATGTTTTCTACTTTTGTCACTGAGTGTCCAATTTTAAAAGGTAGAGTTTCACTTGAACTATAGAAAAATAAGACTAAACATGTGTTCCACTTTACAAATCCAATTTGTCTGTGGCCAGAAGAGAAGGAAATGGCAGATGCGTTTGAGAATGGATTGGATTCTTCATTCTGGTCCAGCTGGAATACTGGACCATGGTCTAGCAGCCTTACTCATGTTGATTATTCTCTTTATATCTACCTACGGAATAAGTACAAAAAAAGGGAATCAGATTTTTGTAACTGTAGGTGGAACCCACACAGGCAGCAAAGCTCACCTAGGTGGACTAACTCTCCCTCTAGTCTTTTAAAACTGCCAGTTTTTCTCCATTGACAAGAAGAAAAATGAGGCGTGTGCTTCAGAAGGACTGTTTTGCTACATATTTAAATCTTAGACCCAAGTGAAGTCCTCAAAATAAACAAATCATATCTCATATATGTGTAAAATATTTTTATACAGGCAAATTTTCAGACCATTTACCAATTTCCTACTGTATAGCTTTCTGGGCTCTGGGAAAGAAGACCAGAGTAATCCAGTTGTAGCTGTATCAAAACCTGTAAAATTAAACATTATATTTTACCTTAGATGTCATTACAATTATTCTGTAAAAAAATATTTAATTGCCATAGTGCCTGCCTTTGGCCTAGTAAGACAGAGATCACTTTAATGAGCGTAAACATGGACCAACACATGTACAGAAAAATAAAAATATTTAAAATTTTATACACATTTATATTAGCAGTGTGATGCAAATGGGGAAGGGGAAGAGGAAGGAGAAAGGGAAGAGATAATTTTTAAATAACTTGTATGTGTTCATTTTACTACTCCAAATTTGAATTTGTTGATGTAACTAAGATGAGTAACTTTGATATTTAACCTGTAGGTAGCTTTTTAGATTGAAAGCATGGTCTTGATAGGGTATACAGTGTTCTATGTATCTGAAAAGTATCTCGTACTGTGGGGCTTAGATATGAATTCCTATATTGCACCTTCATTAAAATTAAACTTGCAATTCTAATATTCAACAACATAGTTAAGCAGTTGGTGGCATTTCAAAAAAGTTAAAAGAAAAATTAAGAAATTACTTGCATGCAAAACACGTTTCTGTATTTTACATACAAATAATTTGGTTGAATTCGTCATGATGGAAAAAGACAGAACTCTTATGTAAGCACTTAATATGCCACACCAGACATAAGCATATTTATGATTTTGATGATTAATTAAAATGGCCTTAAACCTCATCTATCATTGAAAGACAGCAAACTATCTCTGTTGAAAACAAGTTATGGCATCAGCTCTTAAAAAATTGTTTTGTTTTGTTTTGTTTTTTTGCTTTACAATATTATTTTAATGGCTATAATAAATAATGTCCTGGAGTACACAAAACCAGTGCAATAGGATGTATGTTAAGAGGGAAAGGGTTTTTTTAAACCTATTTTATACTACAGAGAGACTAATTGAAAGTAATTGCATTTGATTTATGATAATATAAATGCACAAAGATGCTATTTTTAATATCTCTTATGATGTAAAATCATATTTGATCTTAGAAGATTGTGATTGCATGAGTTTTTTGTTTAAAAATAGATATTGATATTATATGAAAAACTGGCAGCTTATATTTTAAAAAATATGTTGGCAAGACTATAGTAACCAAATTTATGAAATTTATCTTTCTTTATAATATTAAAAGGGATGGTAATATCTTCTTTATATTTTGAAATGATTGTAATTTTATTAATCAGTAATGAGAAATATATTGAAAAGTCAAGAAAATATTAGAACAAAGCTCATATCAGGTATTCAGGAATTAATTATACTGCCATTACAATAGACTTCCACAGTTTCCATCAATTAGCACTACAATGGGCTCAACATTTTTATTTATTTCACCATTTCTTTACACCCTAAGCTATCAGTACCATGACACATAGTATTACTAACTTACTAAACAGTCAAACTGCACCCAGTCTTTAAAAGAGCAGTTGTTAATAATAAAACACATAACACTGCAGTCCATTTTCATGGCATATTTTGCCAGGCGTTTTGTATGGATTGCCATAATTTAATTGCCTTCTATTTTATCAAATCTTTCAAAAGCTGAAACACAGAACAGATTTTAAGTCTTTAAATTCACGATTTCCATTGAAGATAATTCTCTTTTAAATGGGGACAGGTTAAAATCAGATGCAGAACAGTGCAGGGTTAAATCTTTAATGCTTAAAGTAACGGTAATTCACACTCCTCTCTGCCCTCCCTGAACTTTCTTGAGCTGCAAATTAAGAGAAAATCTCATAGAAACAACCATTAGCATGAGCAATTGCACTCTTATTAATACAGATGGGAATTATGCCATTGATAGTAATATCAGAAGGATCCAGACCTCCTAAGCGGTGCTTGAATCTTTCCCTTTCCCTATGTCAACCAAATAGTGAATTAATGTCTCCTAGAATATATTTAATTTTGATTGAATATGACAGTTATTGGATAGTAAACTCAGGAGTTTTGAGAACTAATAAGGTAATAAGGATGCAGGGACCAAATCAACCCTTCTGTCAGCCTTTCAAAAGCTTTCCAATTATGTGTGATCTTCAGATTGCATACGTTCTGTTCTAAATTTCAGCTGTGAGTGGGAGCTACAAGCATATGTCATTAGTAGGACTGTAAGTAGGTTACTACATTTCATGCATTGTGTACTATACAGGGCTTTTTGCCCACGTTCTGTGTATAAATGGATCCAGACTGAATATTGACCCTACAGACTTTGAACTTCAATAAAGAATTGTTTGTGGATCTTAATGCATACTCTCATAAAAATCATCCCTGCTGAGATCTAAAACAAGAGCTAAACTAACGTGGGGTAGTTAAAAAAGAATCCAGATCCTTTTTTTGTGAAACATATTCTACTTTGTTCTGTGGTGTTGTTTCTTCTAGCTCAGGACCACCCAACTCTCTGTGGTTCCAGATATCCCCTATTTCCCGCTGTGCCTTTTGCTTCCCCTCTTTGCACAGTGATATTGAAAAGTTGAGCTTTTTGAAATTAGTAAGCAGTACTTTGCAGGAAAATGTCTACAGAATCCAAGAACAGAATCTGTGTTACTGTCACCTTGTTTTGTGTCAGTGGGATTGATAGGTGAAAGCTCTGTTTAGCCAAAATCTAAACATCTTTTATGAGCTGTATAATCAGACTAAAATATTCAAAACTACATGTTTTTCCAGTCTGCAGATAAAACACGTTAATTTTTGCCACTTTGGCTGTTGTACTGCATGTTGCACAAATTAGTAGACAAAGAAGGGAGAATTTTGTATTTGATATTGTATATTCCTCTAAATTTGCTTAAGGTGAATATTGATTTCTTAACAAGAGAAAAGATGCATTCCATATATTGAAAAGCTTACAGCTTGAAGCTTTGGAGATACTTCAGCAAGTATACAGACCTAACAAAAAGATAAAATTAGAAGATATTTGGGGGTTGGAAAAGAAAGCTGCTGATTCACCACTTTTAAATGTTGACACTAAAAATATCAAAGACCTTAGAAGGACAGCTTTTCTTGACTTGAAACCTTTTTCTGTTTTGCAATCTCTGCATAGTCCCAAAATTGTTATTCCCTCAACCCATTCACTGTTTTTTATGCCTTTTCCACCTAAATGCTTAAAATGAGTTTTGACTTATTTTTAAAGGTAAGCAATTATTTAAAGGAATTAATTGTCTAGCTCTTAAGGAATATTTCTGGCTAGGATACATTATCACAAGTTCTTGTCATTTTTCTGTTTGATATTTGTTCTCTAAGGTTACTGGAATAATGCTTAAAGTGCCCCACTACACTTTCTCATGCTTTCTAATAGTGAGAGCAGGAAGAATAGGGGAAAAAATTGAAGACCCCAATAACTGACAAAGTAGTAAAGAAAACATACCTTTCCAAAATATAAGCATACCTGCCTCAAATATGTCATTAATACTGGAAACAATCTGCTCATTTGTCAACATAGCTTCATCACTTTGACTTTTTTGACCTTTGCATAGTACAATCAAAGTATCAGTAATATCTTGAATACAGTTCTACAAACCAATATGTGGATTATTTGTTTATTCTTCAGAATTTAATACAGGAAGGATATTTAAAAAGTGCACTTTAGATAGAAGATGATAAATTTTTCCATACCTGAACATTGCAATTCCTCAAGAAAGTGAAGGACCACGAAAAAGTGACAAATTGTAATTTTTGTTATTTGAAATCAAGGGAAGACCAAACCTTCTCACCTGATCATAAGAGAAATAGTGTTCCTGAAACTTTTCTTGTTTTGAGCACAAGTGAGGACACATCTCAGTTTATTGTCACGAAGATGATGAAAAGCTGGGTCAAGATCTGCAGCATTGCTACAGCTGAAGGTCTGCATGACCCTATGGCTGGCTTAAAGAACTGTGAGGAACTCCTTCTCACTTTGGTTGTACCTTTTTCCAAAACACAGGTTACAGATGACACTTGCTAAACATCTGATGAGGAAGGTAGCGAGATCAAAGCTACCCACTATGTCTGAGAGGTCCCTAAATACCCTCACAATCTCTGAAACTTCAAAGTGTATCTGTTCTTGTAGCAAACAAGAGCATGTGAGGTTTTTGTATGCTCATGATGACAGATTTCTTAGGGCATTTTTTTCAATCTTCTTATGGACATTCCATCCTCCTCTATATTTTTTACTGAAACTCACATATCTGTCATTTTCAGATTGGGAAAAATTATAAAGATCTGATCTGCCAACAGAGCTTTCTCCATGTATTTCTAAAGCCTGTGTGAATGTGTCGGTTGGCATGGATCACAGCTTTGTTTGAAACATGTCTCCATATTTTTCTCTCTATTTTGTTAGTATTATATGAGGATTTTCTCCAAATTGCAGCAAGTTTCCAGTAATGGGTCAAGGGGTTGCACCCAGAGGCCTCTTCATCCTTTTCTAACCTGTCTTCTTCCACTTTATAGCAACAAAGACACCTCCAAATACAAGTAGCCCTATCAGGTCATAACTGTGCAACAGTGTTGTGAATATTTCTGTATATGGTAGATTCTGAAATAAAAAGTGTTCAACACAGTGTGTGTCATGGCACACACAGACCAGCTAAGAAGCCCACATGCTTCTATGAGAAGCAAAAGAAAAACCTAGCTATTGCCAGTATTGATTATAATTCTACTTATACTTAATAAAACTCATTCAGAATTAAGAGGGTGTCTTATGCACTGCGTGAAGCCCTTGAAGTTCCTTTTACTTTCTATATTGCTATGAAGCTAAAAAAGTAGTCTTCTTCCTTCATTCAACCTTAAATAAAAGTCTATCTCCTTTTATGATTTTTTTGTTGTTGTTATTTCAGAATATAGAAAAAAAAATCAAACAAAAAAAGAGCTGCTATAAAGGAAGGACAGTTTTGCATGTGGATATAAACTTTATGGTTTTGGAAGAGGAAATATAACAGAAGCTATGATTAAGTACAGGTGCATTGCAAATTTCAAGTAACAGCTGTACTTGTAGATATCTGTTTCTTTCATTTTTATCAGATGAAAAACTGCAGGATTATACAGGCACCAGAAAGAGAAAAAGAGATCCTCCGTCAGTAACACATTTGTAAGAATCTTCAGCTGCCCTCATATCCAAAGATGCTGCTGCTGAGACATAATATTCATTAAAGAATAAACAACTTACTTGAATCTTTTTTCAGTGTACAATTCTCAAATGCATATCAGAAGCACGTCTGTTCCTATAGACAATTGCCCCCAAAAGATAGACTACATATTCTTTGATTGTTCTTTTTTTACAGTTAAATGAATTATTATTCCTCTCAGTGCTGCTGAAATTGCTATTCATTACAATCATGTTATCTTGCTTATCAAAAACATATGCAGCATATGCTAGATGTATAATTTTTTGCTATTATTATATGACAGTTCAGTAAGAAAACCATGAAACTTTTAAAGTAGCATACCATTACAGTCTTCAGTTTTAGCAAACACAAAACAAACACAAGTTCCTCAAACCTCCCTTTTTCTAACTGAATAAATAATTTTTGTATATTTCTTAATTAGTATACTATCATGCAACAAGTAAAATTATATCATTATATAGCATTGAAGAACTATGATCAATAGTTTATCCAGAGAAAAACAAGTTATTAAAATCAAATAATTGTAGAAATATGAATAGATTATGCATATATACACAATTCTTTACATGAAGACTTTAGTCTTACCCAGTCTAACATCTGAAGAAATTCAGTATTTTAAGTACAGTCTGTATTCTCTTTTCAAACTATGATTATTAATTTTTAAAGAGTGAAAATGTGTCACTCCTGATTCTGTTCTGCTTCTTTTGTGGAGGTAGACTTTGTTAGGAAATAATTCCTTTTCAGGATGTGAGTGAGAAGGCATACTGACTTGTTGCATTGATGGAAATAGGTTGTACCTTGATATTTACAGCCAGTTCCTTCAGAGCTTCTGCAGCTGTTTGAGGCTAGACTGAAAAACTTTCAAATACCCTTCTGCTCCTAAATTTTAGGGGAGGAGAAAAAGGGAGGAGCTGGTGACGCCAGAGAAACCATAGAAGAGAGCAGTAAATTACAGAGCATGCAGACTGTAATTCACGCAGCTATGTGCAAAATAAAAGTGTGCTTTGCAAAAAAGATTCCAAAGAACAGCTTAAACTGCTATGAAAACAGAATAAGGTTCTTATCACAGGAGTCACATTGGCTGTGTGATTTTCATTTGTCCTCTGTGCTGCATTTCTTCTATGTACTTCCTTTTCTGAGAAGCAGTAAGTTTTGCTTGAATCAGAGTTAGCATTTTTCTACCTTTTTTCATCTGTGTCTGATTTGTTATTTTTGTGACACCTAGATGAGAACCTTCAGCCCCCTGGCAAGTGCAGCATGATCAGTGCAGCGTTATTTCTGCCTAGTTAATGACTAGAGTAAAGGCAAGAGATATATATGTGTCCTAAACCCATAAATCTTAGTGGATATGCCAGAAACATTGCAGCATAAAGGTGTAAAACTTTGCTGGCTTTCTTTATAAAATATCATTGCCCCCTTACTGAGGGAAAACAGCAACTGAACTACCAAAATTTTGGGACACAGTACCACAGATGGGGACTTCTGTTTCCCTTTACTACATGTGTCCAATGTAAGTTTCCCCTCAGCTGTGAGAGCCATGCTCAGCCTTCACCTGTACTGGATGCATATCTAAATAACATACTGCTTTACAACAATTATTCTAGACAAGTGAACCATATAAAACTTTCCTTCCCTCACAGCATGAATGAAAATACAGACTAATATATTTCCTTCTTTAGTTTGTTCATTATTTTTTCCACTCTATATTTAAAAGAATATTGATTTTCAAGAATCCCTACTCTAAATGCTTAACAAATCAGTTCACAGGCACAACACACATGCAAAAACAAGGTACGCCAAAAGAACTACAAAAATGCAGGGATTCTTTACAGCATCAGAGGTATGCACAGCATATGTGAGCTGAAGTCAGTGGGCCAAGAGACACCAGAAGCAGGAAAATGGCCTAAACTATAGCCACTAAACAGTCCCTGAGTCTGAATGCAGTTCTGCCTGAACAGATGTTTTAATCTCTTGACGCTGAACTTGGTGTGATTTTAAAATTGAGTACAAGTGAAATTTGTGCTTGTAGTTTACCTTTATGGGAGAAATGAGAGTCTAAACAAAATAACCCTACCTTTCAAACCATAAGGAAGATTTCAATATGTGTTTGATGCCCAATTAAATCATGGCCTGTTCCTGCTGGGATCACCTCATGTGTATCCAGCTGCAGTAATACCCATGTTCAGAAAGGCTATGGCTCCCTTTCATGTCAGGTTTTTTGTGCTTCATTGGGAAAGAATGGTTAGTGTGTACCTTCACATTTTAATGACTTCAATTTGAAAGTAAGCACACTCACCCATTATCTATGTGCATGCATGCCACTAAGCACCAAAACATTTGCTTTTTTAAAAAAAAAAAAAAACAAAAAAACCAAGAATGACACATCAGCCCACCTTGTTCCACCACCCAAGGGAAAAATCTGCAAAGTATTACATTCCTTACATGTTCAGAAAGGCTATGGCTCCCTTTCATGTCAGGTTTTTTGTGCTTCATTGGGAAAGAATGGTTAGTGTGTACCTTCACATTTTAATGACTTCAATTTGAAAGTAAGCACACTCACTCATTGTCTATGTGCATGCATGCCACTAAGCACCAAAACCTTTGCTTTTTTAAAAAAAACAAAAAACAAAAAAACCAAGAATGACACATCAGCCCACCTTGTTCCACCACCCAAGGGAAAAATCTGCAAAGTATTACATTCCTTAAACCAGAGGCAAAAGGTACTGTTCAGGCTGTTCAGTTTGACGAAAGCCATTGCAAATTCGATGGTTCCCTTAGGCCTGAATTACCACCATCAGTACTTACATTCAGAGCCACTTAGGTAACAAGAAGGGCTTCTTCAAGTACATCAGCAGCAAACGGAAGCCTAGGGGAAATGTGGGACCACTGCTGAATGAAGCAGGTGTCCTGGTGACAGAGGATACAGAGATGGAAGAGTTACTGAATGCCTTCTTTGCTTCAGTCTTCACTGCCAAGGCTGCCCATCAGGATTCCCAGTCCTTGGAGGTAAGCAAGCAAGCCTGGAGAAAGGAGACCTTCCCTTGGCTGAGGTGGAACAGGTTAAGGATTTTTTAAGTAAGCACGACACTCACAAATCCATGGGCCCTGGTGGAATGCACCCGCGAGTGTTGAGTGAGCTGGCAGACGTCATTGCTGAGCCACTCTCCATCATCTATGAAAGGTCGTGGAGAACAGGAGGGATGCCTGAGGACTGGAGGATAGCCAATGTCACTCCAGCCTTCAAAAAAGGCAAGAAGGAGGACCCAGGGAACTACAGGCCAGTTAGTCTCACCTCCATCCCTGGAAAGGTGATGGAACAACTCACTCTGGGTGTCATCTCCAAGCAAGTGGAGGAAAAGAAGGTGATCAGGAGTACCCAGCATGGATTCACCAAGGGGAAATCATACCTAACCAATCTGATAGCTTTCTACGATGGCATGACCGGCTGGGTAGATGAGGGGAGAGCAATGGATGTTGTCTACCTTGACTTCAGCAAGGCTTTTGACACTGTCTCATATAACACCCTCATAGGGAAGCTCAGAAAGTGTGGGTTGGATGGGTGGACAGAGAGGTGGATTGGGAACTGGCTGAATGGCAGGGCTCAGAGGGTTTTGATCGGTGGGGCAGAGTCCAGTTGGAGGACGGTTGCTAGTGGAGTTCCAGCAGTGTGCCCTTGTTGCCAAGAAGGTCAATGGTATCCTGGGGTGCACTCTTAGAGGACTGTGGCCAGCAGGTCGAGGGAGGTTATCCTCCCCCTCTACTCTGCCCTGGTGAGACCCCACCTGGAGTACTGTGTCCAGTTCTGGGCTCCCTGTTTCAAGAAAAATGAGGAACTCCTAGAGAGAGTCCAGAGGAGGGCAACAAAGATGATGAGGGGACTGGAGCATCTCCCCTATGAGGAAAGGCTGAGAGAGTTGGGCTTGTTTAGCCTGAAGAAGAGAAGACTGGGAGGGGATCTCATCAACACATACAAATATCTTAAGGGTGGATGTCATGAGGATGGAGCCAGACTCTTCTCAGTGGACCTCAGTGACAGGACAAGGGGCAATGGGCAAAAACTGAAACATAAGAGGTTTCAGTTGAATATGAGGAAAAACTTCTTTACCTTGAGGATGACAGAGCACTGGAACAGGCTGCCCAGGGGGGTTGTGGAGTCTCCTTCTCTGGAGATATTTAAAACCCGCCTGGACGATATTCTGTGCAATCTGCTCTAGGTGAACCTGCTTTAGCAGGAGGGTTGGACTAGATGATCTCCTGA